TTCTGCAAATCCGGATTACAAGTGAAAGCCGCTTTTATTCGGTCGACTGAAATGCGCTGCTGTTTTCCAGAAATAAGTACGTCGAAGAACTTATCATCTCGTCTTATTACCTTGAATGGACCTTCATAAGGATGCTGCAACGGTCGCTTCACAGAATCCACTCGTACAAATACATGTGTACATGTTTTCAAATTGGCGTTGACAAAAACTTGTCGTTCTCCATGACGTTTAGTATCGTGCGGTTTTATATTGTCGAACGTACGGTGAAGCATTTGGGCAAACTCCGATCGGTCGATATCTCCAGGTGCAGACTGAAAGAATTCACCAGGAATCCGTAAAGCCTGACCGTAAACCATATCCGCAACCGAGCACTGCAGGTCGTCCCTAAATGCCACCCTTAGTCCCAGAAGAATCATTGGAAGTTCGTCGTACCAATTCTTAGAGTTTACACACATTATCGATACTTTCAATGTTCGGTGAAAACGTTCTACGATGCCGTTCGCTTGTGAGTGATAGGCATTCGTACGAATATGGTGAACACCTAACATTCGCGTTAACTCCCGAAAGAGATCGGACTCAAATTGCCGTCCCTGGTCGGTTGTCAGGTTTTCTGGGACTCCAAATCTTGCTATCCATGTTGAGTATAGTGCTTGAGCCACAGATGCTGCAGTCATATCGACAAGTGGAACCGCTTCGGGCCATCTGGTAAAACGGTCAATCATGGTCAGTAGGTAGCGGTATCCTTGTGACGGCGGCAAAGGACCAACCAGATCAATATGAACGTGTTGGAAACGAGCCTTCGGTAGGTCAAATTTTCCCAACGGAGACACGGTATGTCGATGCACCTTCGACCGTTGGCAGTCGACGCAGTGTTTGACAAACTCATTTATTTCACGGTTCATAGCTGGCCAAACGAATCGCTCGGAGATTAACTTCCTGCTGCCTCGTGCTCCTGGGTGAGAAATTCCGTGTAGGCATTCCATGATGGTTCTCCGTTGAGTACTTGGAACGAAAGGTCGTGGTTTTCCGGTCGAGACGTCACAGTAGATCGGTTGAGAACAACCACTCATCCGTTTTGCTTCAAATTTCAGCGAAGTAGATTTGGATTGCATCAACTGCTGAAGCTCCGCGTCGTTTTTCTGCTTTCGTCCGATTTCTTCATAGTCCACCGAAGTAGGCACTAGTATACTCTCCGCACGAGACAATGCATCGGCGACGTAATTTTCACTTCCACTGACATGTTGTATATCCGTAGTAAATTCCGAGATGAAACGTAGGTATCGTTCTTCATGCGGTAGCCGAGAGCTGGAATCGGTTGTTAGCGCGTATGTTAGTGGGCGATGGTCAGTGAAGATCGTGAAGTTGCGTCCTTCAAGGAAGTGCCGAAAATATTTCACAGACATTTTCATCGCAGTCAGTTCACGGCCAAAAGTAGAGTATTTCGTTTGGGACATCGAAAATTTTTCGGAATAAAATCCGAGTGGTTCCCAATTCTGACCATTTAGCTGCTGCAAGACAGCCCCCGCAGCAATATTTGAGGCATCGATCATCAGAGCTAATGGTTTCGACGAGTCAGGATAGTGAAGCAGTGCTGTCTCCGCTAATGATTTTTTACAACGCTCGAAGCTTGATGAAGCTGCATCTGTCCACTGTAGTTTACGTATGTCGTTTTTCCTGTTCCCGGGAATAAGCTTCTGCAACTCAGCTTGGATGTCGGATGCATGACGAACGAAGCGTTTGTAGCCGTTGGCGAGTGCCAGAAAGCGACGAAGTTCCTTGACTGTTGTCGGTTTCTCGTAGTCCATAATGGCTTGGACGCGTGACGGGAGCGGCCGCACTCCATCACTGCTGATCAGGTATCCTAAAAATTCCACTTCCTTTTGGGCAAACACGCTCTTACCCAAATTTAGAACGAGTCCGTGCTGGCGTAGGCGGTCAAACACTATGCGTAGATGCTCCTGGTGTTGAGCAAGGGATTCAGAAGCGATGCATATGTCATCTATAAAGACAACAACGAAATCAAGATCACCAAAGATTCGGTTCATGTAGCGCTGGAATGTCTGACTTGCGTTACATAACCCAAATTGCATGCGGGTGAACTCAAACAAGCCAAACGATGTAATGACCGCCGTTTTGGGAATGTCTGCTTGCTCCACCGCAACCTGATGATACGCTCGCTCCAGATCAAGAGTTGTGAAAACGGACTTACCATGAAGCGAATGCAGCAAATCGTGGATGTGCGGTACCGGATAGCGGTCAGGTGTAGTGATATGATTTAAGCAACGGTAGTCACCAACGAAACGCCATTTCCCGTTCTTTTTCAGCACACAATGCAAAGGTTTTGCCCAACTGCTACTCGATGGTCTGCATATTCCTAGGTCACACATAAGGCGAAACTCTTCCTTAGCAGCTTTAACTTTGTCCGGATGCATTCTTCGAACTTTAGACGCCACGGGTGGTCCACGAGTAACTATGTGATGGGTTACGTCACACTGCGTGACAGAACGAAGCGTCGATGGCAGAGTTATTTCCCGGTACTCCATTAACAAATCGTGGAATCATCCGATCGGCACCAACAAGTGTTACACTGTGCAGAGCAGCAGTCATCATACCTCCAGAAGACTTCAATCCTGTCTGGCCATCTATCAGTTTTTGGTTTTTCAAATCGACGAGTATGCCGAAGTGCGTCAAAAAATCAGCACCGATTATTGGCATCGTCACTTCAGCAACGAGGAAATTCCAGGTGAATCTTCGTCTCAATCCTAGGTCAACAGGAATAAATTTCGTTCCAAATGTCCGAATTCTACTTCCGTTGGCTGCGTGGAGCTGTTGTATAACGGTACCGTTCAATCGATCTCTCCTGGAGGCAGGCAATATTGTGACGTCCGATCCAGTGTCGATTAGAAAGCGTGTATTGTTTGTCCTGTTAAAAATTACCATTCGGCTACTTTCCGACACTCCGGCCACCACCGCCGATGATGGTGGGGAGGATGCTAGTTTTTTGAGCTCCATGAACACGGTTCTCGGCACCGCTGAGCATCGTTTCCATATTTCCTATGGTACCAGCACAGTCCGGATCGTGATGACGAACGAGAACCACTTCGGTTTCGCGAAAACGAACGGCCTCGCTCAGGGTTGGGAGCCTTCAGGCGTCGGATTTCCGCTGTGAGAAGTTCGATCTGCTCTGCTAGCTTTCTTTCACCACTGTTGCTGTACGTTGGTTCGTTGTGCACCATGGCAACTGCGGAGGACTGACCGTTGGAGGCGTCGGTGATCTTGTCTGCCATTTCAGCCAACTTCTCGATGGTACCATCGTGGCATGTGAGAATTGGTCGAATGTTTGCCGGGAGGTGTTGAATGAAAATCATTTTGAGCAGATTGTTATCCACGCCCAAACCCGTCGACAACTCTCTCATCTTTGCTAACAGATGCGTTGGGCGCATATCGCCAAGATCGTGGGCCCCCAGCAGCTGTTCGAAGCGGCTTTCAGCAGACAGGGCGAACCGAGCAATTAGGCGATCTTTCACTGTTTTGTATTTATTTTCCGCTGGAGGAGCAGCTACCAAATCGGCTATGTGACATATAACCGATTGATCCACTTTGGCCACGATGTGGTAAAACTTGGTTTCATCATTGACGATTTTCGCAAGGTGGAATTGCGCTTCCGATTGCGCAAACCACATAGCCGGATCAGTTTTCCAAAAATCCGGTAGTTTTACCGCGACAGATGCTGCTGCGTTGCTCCCGTTATCGTCCGGCATTTTGAGGTTAGTTTCGGCTTTGAGATCAAATATCGGCGAATAACCGTGAAATCGCGGGTCACCAATGTAGTGATCGGACACGGAATAAAGAACGATTAGTTACGAAATACTTAAAATCTTTATTTTTACTTTCAATAGAAAAACAACCACGTTCGCGCGTTGATAGCTGCGTAGAAAAGATTGTCAGCTTGAGTTCTTTTTCTTCGACGACGACCCGATGGAAGCCAGGCTGACCAGTGTTGCCGGGCGATGCCACAAACTTATCACTGGGATAGGCCTCCTCTATCTGATAGATGATATTATCACCATTTATCAGCTAGTGTTAATGCTTGATTGCTACCGGTGTTAAAACTAGTCAGTCACAAGTATCTGACTTCACATCAGTCTGGAATGCTCGGGCAACGAAATAACTTTTTGAATTCTAAGAGATTGTAGATATTGGAACCGATGGACCACAGTCCAAATTGATGACTTTCCGGTAAAATGTAACACTGATTTCAAGCGATATTCTAGAGAACTTTCAGTAATTGTGATTTGGGGATGGAAAATATTGCAAATCCAAGCTGGATCAAAGATAATAGATATTCGACAGAATAACTACATGCTTCAGGCAAAGAAATGATTCGAAACGTACTTTGTTATAATGCAATGGAATCTGCTAAAATCTATTAACAACCTCACGGGGACTCATCACCATCTGCAACGACAAGTCAAGCGCAACTTGAGGGAAATGAATCCACAATAAATATTATAAATTATTCAACATCATCACGTCAAAAGTCATGTTACGTTCACCGCTCTCCAGCTTCCTCCTGCTACGCCAATTAAGTACACCAGCGCCATCCCCGGTAGATAGATGCCTAGATAGTAGAAAACTTATTAAAAAGCGAATTGCGAGTGTGCAAGGAAAAAGTTCCGCATAACAATGCGAAACGAATTCCCTCCGAGAAGGAGAAAGGGAAATCTAAATTGCAAACCATTTAGCACGTGACGACAGTCAGTAGTAGCGCGAGTCGCTTGTCGCTTTTCTGAAGCGAACAAATTTATTCATGCGACTCAATTACCCAGATCCCCAAGGTGCGGGATGGGAAAGGGGAGGGAAAGGTTTTTAAAGAAGGGTAATTTGCATCCCGAGACCCGAACAAACATCAGGGATTAACGGACGGTTCCCAGCACGGACAGTTTCGAATAGTTTTAGGACGAAGAAATTGTTCCCATTGTTCTGTTTAAACAAACAGACGACGGCGACACCTAATTGACTATTGTTTGTAATTCTTTAGCTAGATTTGTTTAATAATGTTCATAATTACTTAGCTCATATTAAGGATAATGTTATATGTAAAACGGAAAAAAGGCGAGTCTTACGATAGACACTGGTTCACGTTTTTTGTTTGTTAGTTTCTTGTTTGCGGTGATGACGATCACGAGGAATTGTTTTGTGAGTTGACTTTTCAGTTCTCGGAACGCGATTTTGTTATTTGGCAGGCTTCTTCCGGTTTGTGTTACACTAGTTTAAGTGGCCTAATCATAAGTTTCCGGTTTTGTTTAACAGTTTCTACCCAGCATTTGGGGGAAAGAAACAATAGTCTGTTGATGCTCCGCGTTGCGGTAGCCCGATTAAATAATGTAAAATCACTTAAACAATGAATAACGGTTAAAACAAAGGATCCGGCGCGGCGAATCGACTAAAATAAACGACAAAATCGAACGAAAAACTAACCTTCCAAGATGCACTACCGTGGAACGACTACGAGGGCGGTGCCGGAACCACTCGCTGATGAAGTTTCCCGGCGTAATCGGACACGTTCATCAAACTGAGTTGTCCGTTGAGAGAGGCAGACATTAGGTTGTCGGAACCGGCGTCGCCCGCACTTCCTGTCCGAACCACTTTGGAAACGGAACCAGCCGGACTACCTGGAGGCGATTGCTCGCCGACAATGGGGATACTGTTGCTGAGATCTGCCACCGAAACACCTCCCTGAATTGCAGCACGCCAACGTGACTTCTGCGTCTTGGAGGATAACCTGCGAAAAAATTGTTGGTCGTTTCGCAATTGGGCACAGAAAGTATAACCCTCACCTGTCCCTCTCCTCCACAGACAATCTGAGCATCGCTTTCCTCCATTCATGCACATGAGGAAACTTGCCCTGATCTATCACGCGCTTCTCGATCACATTCAGCACATCCACGTCCTGTTTGCTCGGCTCCTGTTCTTCTATGAAGATCCTGTATTGCGCCTCCTTGCTATCACTGCTACCTGCACTACTCTCTTCCTCATCCAGATCTCCGTTGGTGTCCAGGAATTGGTCCTCCTTCTCGTCACCGCTAACCACCCCGTCATCCGCCGACGATAGCGAACTAAAATCGAACAAGTCCGACTTCTGCGAGAAGAATGAAGGACTCGACGGAGGCGTCTCGAAGCACACATTCGCATCGTCCGAATCGGAATCGACTTCCAGCTCCGAATCGCTGCAACTCTGAAAAAATAAAAAATAAATCTCTTAACCAACAATCCACACAGCCAAAGAACCATCAACACTTACAAAGTACTCCTCGTCCTCCTCATCGGACACCTCGCCAAACGCCATCGTCGTGGGATTCCGGTACGTATCGAAATTACCCGCCGACGCCGTCCGCTCTAGACTAGAAACCAGTCCACTCAGGACCGGCACCATCGGACTGCTGTTACTACGGATCACCGCAGCAGCGGCAGCCTTCTTCCGCTGTTCCCGGCGCTTGTTCAACCTCTCCAGGCTACCCTTCTTGGCGTACACTCCGTCGATTCGGCAGTTACAGCAGTGTACCAATGGGTCCTCGCGCCACGTTCGACTGCAGCTGATTTCCGTTTGGGATCCGTTGCTCTCTTGATCCGGCTGGCTGCAGCCACCGTTCATCAGCTCCGCCTTCTTCAAGATGTAGAAATCGAGAAAGTTCTGCAGGCAAATCAAACTGTCCTGCAGATCCGGATACTTGCTGGCCGAGTTCAGCTCCCGGCTCTTGTCCAGCAGGACTTTCAGACGGTGGATCTGTGTAGGGGAGATGAGATAATATAATAAATTGTTGATTTCGAAAATCTATTGACCGCTTACCACTCCTTGGGCCGTCTCCCGCTGCTGTTCGATGTTGATCACAATCAGCTGAGCGTACCGCGAATGCACTTTGCTGAATTCGATCGACCCGAAGGCGGCATCCTTCCGGTAGTTGTCGACCATGGTGTTCAGCTTCCGGACGCAGTCCACCACGGCTTGCTGGAAGAACGACCCGAAATCCATCGTCATGGTGGTACAGCTGCTCTCGTCCAGATTCTTGACGAACCGTTTGGCAAACACCTGCAGCGAGTTGTGCAGGCACAGGTACGGGTTGGTGATTCTGGACCGGATCGGTTCCGGTTCCAGTACTATGGGAGGAGCGGCACTCGGTTGAATAACCAGTCGCTTGCGGAAGGTGACGGCTGTTATTTGAGGCGACGATCGGAGGGCTGCATCCGCCAGGGACATCTTGTCCAAGGCGTCACAGATCGATCCGAGACTGTCGTTTGGTTTTTCGAGTGATGGCAGTAGCTTGTTCACAGGCACCGGGAGACGGGACGTTTTCAGGAGCGCTTCTTGTTCCGTAAGATCTAGTTGTAGTTGACGTTTTCGGAGATAGTCTTCGAGTTGTTGCAAACCGTCGTTGCTCCTAAGATCGCTGAACGTACCCAGGAAGCTCCAGTACTCGTTCCAACCGACTTCGTGATCCTCGGCCAAGGTCCGACCGATAATCTCCAATCCCTTCTCGGTGTCGGTAAGTCGCAGTTTGCGTTCCTTGAACGAGGGCGAATCCGTAATGTTCGTTCCCTCGTAGAATGAATTGTTTTCATCGCAAAAATAGCTGAAGTTCCCTTCCCCGTTGCCGACGGATCGCTCAACCTCTGCTAATTCTTCCCGGGTATCATTTTTTCCGCTATCCACGTCGTCATCGTCATCATCGTATATCGTGGCGAACGAATTCTGCAACCTTTCCCGGTACTTCCGAAATAGGAATCCGTCTATTCCCTTCTTCACCGGACTCGCTCGCATGCCGAAACTTCCACCGATAATTTTGGGCACTGGTTTGTTTCCATTCATTTCGTCAAGCTGCCGTTGCTCTTCCAACGCTTCCTGGTCCGCATCTTCCTGGACCACTTCGATTTCACAGTTGTTATTCAAGGAGTTGCTTTTCTCATGCTCTTCCTGCTCCAGGGACAAATCGAAGGGCCGATTGGGAAACAGTGCCCTTCGGCCGCTGTTCTTCTTCGCGATCGGCGTCGATGAGAGTGGACTGACCACACCCACGGTAGACACCGGAATCTTGCTCGAACTCATGGTTTTTACCGGCGATATGAACCTGGGCGACGGAATCAACCTCGGCGGTGTCTTCCAACGTTTGCAGAAGACCTGTGCCTTCTCCTTGTCCATCGGTCCAGCGTAGGCTTTTATTTCCAGCTTGGGACTGAATCGGTCCTTCGATTCCAGATTCGGCGGGTTCGAGAGGGTAAACGGTTCTCCCACCACGGGAGGGGCACTGTTGTCGACGGCTCGCAGAACCGGAACAAAAAACCGCTCCTGCAGGAGATCGGCGATGGCTTTGCGGATTTCCGGTGTGTCGTTTTTACTCTTGGCTCGGCTGCAAATAATCTGCGGGTGGAAATTTCAATGTTTGGGATTCGAATCAATAACCTTAACAATTACAAGTTACAAGCTACTCACGTCCTTCGGCAGATGCCCGTCGGAGTTCCGGGTCATTTTGCACTGCGGGTAGGAAATCAACACTTCCACCACCCCAGCCGAACCGAACTTGGCGGCAAAGTGCAGTGGCGTTTCGCTCCGGCACTTGTCCGGCATGTTCAGGTACAGATCTAGCAGGATGGCACTGACCTCGTCGGTCGAGGGATTCCGTTGACCATGCAGGAACTCGATGAACCCGGGATGTTCGATCGTCTGCAGTATCAGCTTGCACATGTCGGTGTTGCCCTCGATGGCGCCCACGTGCAGAGCGTTGTAGCGGGGGCCCTCCTTCAGGATGGTTGGCATATCGCCGGAACTGACCAGATAGCGCGGATTCAGCTGAACGATGTTCCGTACCATGTCCAGTTCGTTCTTTTCAATGTTCTTGCGGAAGGCCACCAGCTCCTGACTTTTCGGGGCTTTGAAGGGGGTCTTTTCGAGCTTCAGCTTGGACGCCGAGCTGGTTGGAGCTGGAAGAAATGGAAGAGAAGGCGGTTTATGTTAATTTTGAGGAACGGAATTGCTAACAATCCCTGTGTTATAACCAGGACTGTGGAGTCGGAGTCGGACGCATTTTTGAATACGAGCAGTAGGAGTCGGATTCCGACGTCGACTTAATAATAATAATTTTCAAACTAGATCGTCCCAAATGTTGGTCCATGAGCACCTTCTTTTTGGGCTCATGGTGAATTCAATTAAATTTAAATGCCTAGGCTAGTTCATCTCCGTAAACGGTGGGAAGCCTTAGAAAGAGGTTCCTCAGCCACATTGCTTGAATATCATGCTACTTCAACATGTCATTAACTACTCTTCTTCTTTTTCTTCTTCTTCTTCTTCTTCTTCTCTTGCTTTTGATGGGACCGGTGTCAGTGACCATATGCCCAGTGGTTTTGTTTGTTCGTCGAAGTTTTTGATGCCAACGCAGTCGGGCACCAAGTGCTTGCCCGCTCAAGCTGTCAAGCACTCGTTTGTTGTGTTTACAATTCAATTTTTATTTTTTTCAAGAAGTGAAACACATTTCGAAAAGTTTTTACGTCGTTTGATTTGAATAGGTCTATCGGCGTCCAGAATTTGCCGTCGAAATCGTATTCCGAGCGGGTGATGGCGTATTTGTTGCAGTGGAGTACTACATGGTCTGCCGTGTCCTCTGCCAGGCAGACGTCGCATTCAGAATCCTGAACAATTTTCATTTTAGCTAACCAGTTGTTGGCGTAGCTGTGTCCGGCGATGAGGCGGTTTAGTGTTCTGACTTCTTTGTTGCTGAGTTGCTTGCCCTTGTACCAAGGGTGGTCGCTGTAATTTGGCTGAATAGCAAAGAAGTGCTTGCCTTTTTCGTCAGCGTAAGTAGAATACCATTTGTTTGTATTATCTACTCTTAGCTGATTGAACATATTTAACGCATCCTTGATGAAGATTCCGTTCTTCAAGATTCGTTCCGATTCTGCGCCAGCTTTGGCAAGCTCGTCTGCAATATCGTTCCCTTTGATTGCTGTGTGGCTCGGATCCACTGGATCGTGACTTTCAGGAACGACGCCTTAACAATGATGTCGTGAATCATTGAATTGCGATTTCGTTCCTCGAGTTCCTCTTCTATCAATGGGCAAGATGATAGTGAGTCCGTGAAGAGTACTGCTCCAAAGATTTGTTCTTCTTGCAGGTGTTTTAATGCTACTGAGATAGCGAACAATTCGGCGGTCATTATGCAGATCTCTATGTCCAATCGTAGACTGATTCTGCGGTTCGTGGTTGGGCAGAATACTCCCCAGGAGGTCCCCATTTTTGAGGCATCTGTGTAGATGTTCGGGCGGTGTTTGTATTTAGTGTTTTGTAGGTATAAGAATGTCTGTTTCAGGGTTCGTTGATCGCAGTTTCTTTTGGCAGGTGCTGCGTTGAGAAGCACCGTTTGAATGTCCATCGATTGGGTATGGTGCACTCTGACTGACGGGATCACCGCCTCAAAGATGTGCCGGTGTTTCAAATAAGTGCGTTCAACTAACGTTAGCATGTCCTCTGGTATTTCGGATCCACCTAGTAGCGTGAGTTGGTCTGCGACAACACTGCCGTGCAAAAAGTGTTTCGCAATCTCTTTACAGGTTACTTGTTCCATTCGTATTTCTAGCGGACTTTCCGCTGCAAGTGCTGCCAGAGTGTTCCTCGGTGTGGTCCTCGAACATCCTGTTGTTTTACGCCAACATTGATTGATCATCGTTTGAAGCGATTCTTTGTTAGTTTTACTAGAATTCCCGAAAATGGTGCATCCATACTCGATGACACTTCGTATGAGAGCTTTATACAAAAGTCCCATCGTCTCTGGATGTCCGCCGTGCTTTATTTTCGATATAACCTTCATCATATTCATACGTTCCTGAATTTTGTGTCGTAGCTCCCGAATGTGTTTTCCGTAGCTAGTCGTTCTATCCATGTAGATTCCTAGGTATTTGTAGCTTGGCACTGTTTCAATAGGAGTTCCTCCGACTTTTACTCCCAGTGTCACCTTGCTTGCTTTGAAAATCATCGCTTTGGTTTAATCTGGGTTGATTTCAAAATTTAATTCGGCTGATTTTCTTTCGATTCTGTCGATGGCTGCTTGTGCCTTGACCGTGATACTGTCAAGGTTATTCCCAAAGACGAGGATGAAAAAATCATCGGCATACTGGACTAGAATTGTATCTTCACCTGCGATTTCGTGCAAACCGGCCGTATACAAATTGAATAAGACCGGTGACAGTACATCACCCTGCGGCAATGATTTCCTCCGTTCCAGTTTTCATAATCACAGTTCGATTTCGCAAAAATACTGTGATCCATCGAATGTATTCTTGGGGTACGTTGAATCCGGTCATTATTTCTTCCAGCTTGTCTGTGCGAACCGCGTTAAAAGCGTTGCTTGAGTCCAAAAAGACTCCGACTGTGGTTAGTCCGCTCCTCCGGTTAGCTTGGATGAGGTTCGTAACGTATGTGATGCAAGTGTTCGTTGACTGTCCTTTACGAAAACCGAATGATAGGTTGGGTAGTATTTGCTGCTTGTCGATAAACTGGTTTAGTCAATCTAGAACAGCAGAGTTTAGCGTTTTTGTTAGTGTAGGTACAAGGGATATTGGTCTGTTCCCCGCTGGAGTGGTGTTATCCTTTCCAGGCTTTGGCACGACGACGATACGAATTTGCTTCAGATGCTGTGGAAGGCTTCCCTGTCTCCAGTAGTTGTTCAGTTCGATCAAGACTAGCTTAGTCACTTGTGGGCTCAGGGACTTCAGCATATCATAGGTGATACGATCAACTCCTGGGGCCGACGATTTCTTCCGGTTCAGGATGTTGTTCCATTTTTTTTGGTCCATGATGTCGTAATTGCTGATTGTTGTTCGCGGGGAAATATCGCTCGGGCCGACGTGTAGGTCCATAAATTCCTTTGCCAGATCTGGATTGTCCTGGATTATGTTGTTGCGCGTACTTGTTTTCTTTCCAGTGAGTCGTCGTATCTTTTTCCAGAGTTCGGCTGAACTTGTTTGTGGGTCCACCTCTTCGGCGAATCTGTTGATGCTTTCTTTGACGTTCGCCTTCTTCAACCGAAAAAGATTGCTGAACTTCTTTTCAGGTGAATCAGGTTTTCCAGGTTGCTGTTTCGGTTGAAGTTCGACAACGCCTGCTGTTTCGCCTTCCAAGCTGCCTCGACTTCGTCGCTCCACCAATATTTTGGGTTGAATTGGTTGGTCATTCTGTTGCGCTTTATTATTGTTCCTACTTCTCGGCTGAGGTCGCTGATTCCACCAACTGTAATGGTGTCTAGCCTGGATATGTCTGTTTTTATCTGTCTTCTGTTGAAAACGAATTTCTCCTTGTGTGGAACTTGGGTGTTCCATTCTATTTCTATTGTGAGGTGGTGACTTCCAATTGACTCGTCTCTTACAGTCCAGGTGCAGTCCAACACTAGGTTGCTTGAGACCAATGTGAGATCAATGGCAGTGGCCTTCTTGTTGAGTTGTTGCGGTTTGTAGGTGGGGCTTCCGTTGTTCATAAGAATCAGGTCGGATGTGTTGATTGCCTGGATGGCTGCTGCACCTCTTGGGGACGTTTTGTCATTACCCCACAGTGTGTGATGGCAATTGAAGTCACCACCAAAAATCACTTTTGGAAATTTCCCTAGCGCCACCAACATGAGGTCGATATCATGTTGGAAGTCGTTAAGGGGCATTGAAGGAGAGAGATATACCGCTGCTAGGACAACTTTCAGGATTGGTACGTATATTGCCACACACTGACTTCCATCGCTGGTCGTAGGTATGGAAATGGGCTGGAAACCGTAGTCTTTGTGAATATATATGGCGGCACCGCCATATTCGTCATGTCTGGAGTTAAGTACTTTATTGTATCCGCTAATGTTGTATATTCTGGAGTTTTGGTTTTCTGCTTTTGACCAAGTTTCGGAAAGGAGGGCCGCTGTGTCCGACCCAGTCATCAATGATCTTTGTAGTTCTTCTTTGTGTTTGGAAACGCTTTGTATGTTACACTGAAGTAGTTCTATCCCTTTTCTCCTACTATCCATAATTAATCAGGGAAAGATGAATGAGTCTAATTTTTATAAATAACGTCAAAACTTAGATATTTTTTGCTTGTTTCGATAATGTTTTCTCTAGCTTGTCCTTTCAAATCCGTATCTGCGATGATGGCACTGTAGTAGTGCTGCAGTGCTTCTTGTATGGCGTGGTTGATGGTTATTTTGGAGACCGTGTCTTGTTGGTTCTTCGCATCTTGCAATTTCAATTTCCACCGTTCGTGCTCGTCGGTTTTGTACGGGTTATTCAATGCTGTTCCGTTGATTTCACTGGATGGTTCCTTCCTTTTGCGCTTTCTTGCTTCTTCTTCCCGATCCAGCTCCCGGGCGGGTGTGTAGACTTCTGGTTTCTTATTCCGCGTGTCTCGGGATGGTCCTTTGTTTGGGTTTCTGTTATTGCTTCTTCCTGCCATTGACGCGTAATCCTGAGATCCTTTATCTCCTGGTTTCGGTTGATCCATGAATTCAGCGAGTGCGTTGAAGCTGTTTGAAGTCGTGATAGAGAAGTATTCCTTGGCTTCGAAGAACGTCAAAGCTTTCGTTGCCATGATTGACTTTATATTGTTCTGGCGTTGGCAAACCATGGCAGCGTCGAGCACTTCGGCAGTTTGCTGTTTTGTGGTTGTAGCGCAGGTAGTTTAGACAAAGAAAAACTTTTCTGTAGAATGGTTCCACCTTGATGGAGCAGCTGTATACTTTTACGAGCTCTGGTAGCTTGTTCGACCGGAACGTGACACTGACGCGGGTTGAGGGAATTTTTGCGTTGTTAACAAAGCGTTGGAAGCGATAAACGTCCGTAATCGGCACCAAGCTGTGTAGGTCTTGTATGATTTCTTCGGTCGTCATATCAGTCGGGATCCCGGAGATAACTCCAGTTACTGATATCAAGTGCTTGGCTACATAAGCTTTAAATCCGTATGC